GAGAGAGAGAGAGAGAGAGAGAGAGAGAGAGAGAGAGAGAGAGAGAGAGAGAGAGAATTATTGAGTTTATAGCAACTCTGGTATTAACATTCTGACATTTTTATTCTAGCCAGTCTAGTGAGTATAAAATAATGTCTCATTGTGGTGTTGTATGCATAGAGGGTTGATGTACTACACAAAATTTACTATTTTAACTGGTTTTAAACGTGCAGGTCTGTGGCGGATAGGCCATTCACATTGCTGAGTAGCCATCTCTCACCATTCATCTTCAGAACTCTCAGTTTCCTTAACCCAGACTCTCTGCAGCCACTAAATAGCTCCCTCTTCTCACACCCCAGCCCCCCCCCCACCTCCCACCTCACCCCCGCAACTACTCTGTGAATGAGACAACTCTAGGAACCTCACAGAAGAGGAAGATCCGATGCTTGCTCTCTTAGTTAGGGTGACTACTGCTGTGATGGAACACTGTGGCCAGAGTAACCTGGGGAGGAAAGGGTTTGTTTGGCTTCTCATCACTGTTCATCATCGAAGGAAGTCAGGACAGGCACTTAAACAGGGCAGGAACCTGGAGGCAGGAGCTGATGCAGAGGCCATGGAAAGGTGCTGCTTACTGACTTGCTCTTCAGGGCTTGCTCAGCCTGCTTTCTTATAGAACCCAGGACCACCAGCCCAGGAATGGCACCACCCACAATGGGCTGGACCATCCCGCATCAATCACCAATTAAGAAAATGCCCTGGGTTGGGGATTTAGCTCAGTGGTAGAGCACTTGCCTAGCAAGCACAAAGTCCTGGGTTCGATCCTCAGTTCCAAAAAAAAAAAAAAAAAAAAGAAAGAAAGAAAGAAAAAGAAAATGCCCTACAGGCTTGCCTGCAAGCCTGGTCTTATGGAAGCATTTTTTGGAGCCTTAATTGAGGCTCCTTGGCTCCTTTCTCTCAGATAACTTCAGCCTGTGTCAAGTTGTCATAAAACTAGCCAGCACACTTGTGCTCTTGTACCTGGCTAGCTTCATTCAGCCATTGCCTATTGGTTCATTCCTCTCATCATGTGTCCAGACTAACTGCCTTTGGTCCGGTTGTTTTCTGTCTGGTGCTGGGGATTGGCCCAGGATCCTGCACATGGTACAGGACTGTCTTTGTGAACCCGATTCCAGCTGAATGTGGTAGCACACTGTAGTCATATGCCGTGGAGCTTTGGTGTGCAGAGGTCTGAGTCCCGCTTCACTTTTGTGCAGGCACCCACAGGTGGGGGCACTGGGGTGTGTCATAGTTGTAGGGTTGTGTTTGTGAGGACTCCTCGGTGCTGTTTTCCAGTCTCTGTCTTACATTGGTGTGTGTGGTTCAGTTCCTGGCTGCCCCAGACTTGCTGGTTTGGGCTTTCTCTGCTTCCTTTCGTCCTTTCTCTCTCCTCTTCTCCCTTCCTGGTTATAGTTATCTAAGGGATGTGAGTGTATCTAACGGTCGTATGTGCGTCTCCATAATGCTGTCAAGTGTCTTCTCGGTGCGCTCCTGATCTGTTGTAAATCTTCAGTCAAGTCGGCTGCCTGTGGAAGTTCAGCTTGGATTTATCTGTCTTTGTGCATCTGCTGATGACCCCCCAGCCCCGGCTGCAGAATAAATAAATCCCATTGCTTAGTGGAGGGCATCATGGAATATATTATCAACCTTAAGATCATGCACTTGACATGTTCAGTATTTAAGCTGCTATTTATTTGGGGAAGAAAGTTTTTAGGTTTGTACATCATGCTAGCATTTGAACACTAAAATAAAAAAAAAAATGTGGTTGCGTGGCTCTTCCCAGCTCCCCTTGCAGCAGTTAAGTCTGTTGGGACTGGTCACCTCTTTTGTCCCTTCAGGTTTTCCATCCCTACCATATCCCCCGCCCCCCAGGTAGGAACAGCCTTAGCATCTCCTTTCCCCGGCTTTCCCCTAAGGCCCGGTTGTCTCCTGCATCTTCATTCAGGCTCACTTTGTGCTCTAGTGTAAGGTTCTTGCAGTGCAGATGAGCTCAAGAGGAAGGGAAGTGAGAGAGGACAGGTGCCCTCCCTAGTGCCCTCAAATGCTGGCTCGGCGCTCTGAGTAATGAAGTCAGGGGGCGCACTGTGAACCCGAGCAGTTATTAACTAATGCAGTGGCCTCCCGGCTGTACAGATGATAATGCAGAGTGCTATGGAAAGACCATGTTAGTCTTCCCATTCATGTTTATCTTATGTTATGAAAACATTTCTATTACTATACATGAGAACATAGATATACAATTTGAATATATGTCTTTACAAAGTTTTTTAGCTTTATTTCATTTTGTGTGTATGAGTGTTTTGCTTGCATGTATGTCTATACCGTGTGCATGCTTGGTGGCCGTGGAGGCCAGAAGAGGGCATTGGATGTCCTGGAACTGGAGTTAGAGAAGGCTAAAAGCTGCCTTGTGGATTCTGGGAATCAAGGCCAGGTCCTTGGCAAGAGCAGTGAGTGCTCCCGACCCCTGAGCCACTTCTCCAGCCCCTGAAAACGTGGTTTTTTTATTGGCAATAAGGTTTATGTTTTCTGTTGCTGGAGTATGAGATAGACACTGTCGGCGAAGTGCCTTGTGTAACAGACTTTGACTTTGTCAGCCATTTCAACAAAGATGGCCTTGTGTCCACTGTCAGGGAATAAAGCTTAATTCCCCAGAGGGCCCGCGTTAAATGTGCTGTTTTGTGTTGTTCCGTTAGACCCTCCTCTGCACAGTACTGCTATCGATGCTGAAGAGGAACTGTCCAGACACTGCGGGTCCTCTGCCTCTCCGGCCACTCACGCAAGAGAAGAGGGCAGAAGGTACGAGTCCGTCTCAAGCAGTTGGGGCTTTCGGTTTGCTTGTTTGGTTTCGGGAGGGTTAGATTTACTTTTATTATTATTATTATTATTATTATTATTATTATTATTATTATTATTTTGGTTTTTCGAGACAGGGTTTCTCTATGTAGCTTTGCGCCTTTCCTGGAACTCACTTGGTAGCCCAGGCTGGCCTCGAACTCACAGAGATTCG